CCTCCCAGTTGATTGCATACATGGCACTACATTTTACATGCTGGACAGTTTTTTGTTATCTCATAATTGCTTTCTGGTTTATTTAAAATGAGATCTAGTTTCCTTCATATAAGTACATTTCCAATTTGTAATACCATATCTGTTTGTAACATCATTTAGGAAACTTTTAAAAAGTTTCCTTTTGCCTTACCCCAAAGCTCTCATTCCTTGCAAAATCAAATCCTTTCCTTTTAGTAACTTGGCTTGAAGTTGTCTGTTAGCTACAACAAGGTTACACAGCCTCCAACATGTGTGCCACCTGAAGCTGCAGAGCCTCTTCTGAGAAAATGTGAAGGATTGCAAGTTCTTTGCTAAGCTCCCTGGCTGGACTGAGAGATTTAAGGGGTTTCCTTTGCTTCTGTTTCTTCAGTCATTTACTCCATGGTGCCAGAAGTAAACATGGTATGGTCAGGAGTGGTGGTCAGAAATGGTTGGTTGTTTTCTGGCCTCACTCACCTGACACGGGGTGGGTTACACACAAAATTTTACATCTGACACACAACTAAAGCTATAGACTTCCACACCTCCTGTTCCAGGCAATACCATGCTGTAAATGAGAATGACCCACTGTAAACTTAGGTCCACTGGAGTTCTCTGCAGAGCATTTCTGCCTGTGTTTTGCTGGGGGAGGTTTGGGGGAAACCTTTGTGATTTTGCCTTTTTGGGAGAAAGATTTGTTGTACAAATGCTGTGACAGACTGTTATAAAATTTACTGCCAGGGTTGTCGTCTATTGCCTACCAAAAAAAAAGACCAAAAGGCGATTTCCAAAACTAAAAATGACTGCACACAAAGTCAAATGGTTACTGTCAATAGTAAGGTTACATGCCTGGGGTTGCAATTATAGGCAATGTAATATTCTTTTTAACGTGACTGACAGACTCACTGCGACTGGTAAATGATGCAATTCTTGCAAAACAATGTTCCAAGAGCCTATGACAGGATAGAAGTCTGTTCTAGGTTTCAGTAAAAGTCAAGATTTGCAGGTGGGAAGACAAAAACCTGTGAGATTACAGTTGTGTTATCTCACCCTGCATTTTTGGGAAAAAAAAAATTTAATTGTTGCGTTTAATTGTCTTTTCAGTGGAAAGCAACATTTTAAACAGGTTATGTCTAATTCAGAATAGACAATGCCAATTCCATGATTATACCCCCTCAGGTTTTTGTATGCCTGGTATTAAGAGATTTGATTGCTTTCAACCTTTTGAAATGCAATGAGGCACTTCAGTCAAAATGCAAATAAACTCTTCAAATTATTAAGATATAGGCTATTATAAAACTTCAAAAATATAATACCAAGATAAGGAAAACAAACTTACTTTTGGAGTAAGTAAAATACTTACAGGCAAAATGTCTTTATGGTGTAGAAAGTTTCAGAGAAATACACCGTTAAGTATTTCCAGATTCCCTGTATTGCCTCCTGCAGCAAAACACGTTGTGTCCTTGCCTTGCATTGTGACTGCCTTCTTATAGTCCATGTATAAATACAAACACCCTGAAATATGACCCACAAGAAAATCCTGTTTCTGCCACAGGAAGCAAATTAAAGACTGTACTGAAAGGGGAAATTCAGAAGATTAATATTAACTTACAAGCAATGAGAAAATATGCACATTTGAGGCAGCCATAAATGTCTCCCATGCAGAAAAAAAACCTGAGACAGCTTATTTCTGTTGATTCAGCTTTCCAAACAGTCCCTTCAGAGCTGTGTCTAAAATATAATATCCACCCATGACTGGAAGATAAAGCAACATTTAGAACCCTGAAAGATCATAAAGTACCATGAAATGTAACCAAGCTCAGATTTAAAGAACAGCATTTACTAAAACACAATGGTGAAGCAGGATTTCTTATGTTACCTATGCAATGACAACGTACTTTAATTATAAGGTCAGTGTCTTGGTTATAGGTGAATTTTTTTGGATTCTCTCCAGAAACATCCAGCATCTCATTAATGATAATGATTTTACTCACTAAACTATTTGGCTAATCCTGCAGATGGCAAGGGAATTGTTTTTAGACAGAAAATAATTATAATTTTCATCAGGAAATAAGCTAAAATGCCCTACAGCTTTTAAGTCACTATTCAGCTACCTGGCCTTGCCTAAGTGAAAGGGTCAGGCTTCCTCATTTTGAATGGGTTCCTTCAGGCTCTTGGGCTGGCACAGCCATCAGCCTGTAAACATCGCCAGTCAGACGTGATGTCTGTTGGTGGGAAATTTTCCACTCAAATAATATTTTTTGGACATGATCTAAAGTAATGCTCCATCTAGCAGAGACACCAGTGCCGACACAAGAGAATGTTTTTCCCTCTCTCTTTCAATGCTACTCTATCTTTCCAAGTTGCTTTCCTCTTTGGCAGTACCTTCAGGTATTTTACGCTGATCTTTGTGTATTTCCTGTACTAGAACTAGCCCGAAGGTTGTTTAAGATTCAGCCTCAACTTCTTCCTTTCATTGTAAGTCAGCAGGTAGAATTCCTGTGCTCCTTGTGCCATACTATGATCTTTTTCCAGGAAACCTTTGGAGTACCAGGAGACCTCTTGCAAATGCTGAGAGTGCCTTGTTGGCTTGCCACATTAGAGCACTGAAGAGCTTTAAGTAACACTACTACTTTGCCTTTTTTCTCAGACAGACAGCTACCATGTCACCTATTATTTGGAAATTCCCAAGCTGTCCTTATTTAATGTCTGTCATGGTAAATATACCAGAAAATCTGATAAAATCTGATAAAGACCCGCTCTGTCCACTTTTTTTTTTTTTTTAATCTTTTAGACATTATGTCCAATAGGGTGAATAGCTTTTCCTATTCATAGAGGAAACTCACTAATATTAACTCCTCAGATTCTTTCTCAGAAGTCCCTTGTAGTCTGCACCAGGGACTATTTCGAGTCATTTCTGTATTTTCCCAAAGTTTCTAAGCTAGGATAAATTTGCTATAGCTTTTTTTTTTTTAAATAAAATATCATTCTCAATGCACCTTTAAGAAAAAAAGCACTACACAAGAGGAAAATGTGCTCCTTACCTGTTATGCCGTTACATTCCTTGGCATTATTTTAAAAAACTTAAATGACCTGTTTCAGAGCCCCTACTTCCTCCTTTATTGTTCTCAAGGCTCTCTGGCTTCAGAGCTACAACGTATCTGAATAAAAGGATAGTTTTGGAGACGGCAATATTGTTAACAGAAATTTAAAAACAGGCTAAACCTTAAGCAAATAAACACTAATGAACTATAAAGACATGAAAGAGCTTCCAGAGAAGTAATAAATACCGAAATGTTGACTAGACACGTTTCTCATGGTAAAATAGGAATATCTCTAATGCCAGAAAATAGTTTAAGATGGAGCTATTTGCCAGGAATAATAGGAAGGACATTTTCACATGAACTGCTAGACCACTGTACAGTTTACTGTATAAAGACTTTTTACACACAGGGCAGGATTGAGCGCTGGTGGATCAGGATAATTCCATTAAAATATTTTCAATAATTTTGGCTTACTCTAAGAGAGGATGCCTAACCCAAGTTACCCAATGGCAGCTTACTTTTCTAAACTACTTTTCAACTGACACTGTAAACCTCATCTTGAAAAAGATGCCGAAGACCATCTGCATTCTTGGCTGAGAAAGGTTTTGGCATGTATTTTGGTTGGTTTTCACTTCACCAGATTGAGTGACAAACATGCAGATATTCATAGGAAATTTTAAAAAAAGGTCTTTATTGATTTCATGCTCAAAATGTCCATAAAACAATCATTTATTTAATTCAAACAACTGTAAATTTGACTTATGGGAAAAAAAAATTGCCTCACTATGCCCCCGTATTTGTAAGAAAATAAATGTAATGATTTGGTAACTTGCCTTTATTAGCATGCACTTATTTTCTCAGAATATTTCAAAAGAGTATAGAGTACATTAACTGGGAAAAGGGTGAACAACTAATAATTTATCAGTTTAACCAAATCATTAAACTTACTTTTTTGAGTGAGCTACCAACTTTAAAGAGAATATAAAAAGTAGGAATATAAACATCACTGACGTAACTCCAAAATACAAAATCAAGACCGTACAGTAACTAAAAAGGCACTTCTGGTTTCTGATTCAAGTAAGTATTTCCAGCCTTGGCAAAATTCCTCACAAATAGAAGCTATATCTGAACATACATTTGTTACTGGAACATACAAATTCTATCATTTTAACATTAATTTTTAATGTTTTATAACAAACCCTTGGCATTAACTTTCTGTTGGTTCAAAACTTCTGAATCAAAAAGCAGACATTTTTATTTCTGCAAGCAGAAAAACTGCAATACCACTGTTTCAGGCCGTTCTATCACTTAATTGTCATTTGCAAGGCAAAAATCTTTACAATGGCACTTTAATAAGGCATCATCCAATTACTGTTTGCCAATCTTTTAGAAAGATTTTAATTTTGATTTTCCTATTTGTTACATTTCCATACTATTCAGGTAAATAGTCTACCAATACTGATTTTTTTATTTATCCATCTTATGCTAGAGTGATAACTAAATAAATTGACTTCCAGATTAAACACAGAGCAACCACTAGTCTTCAATAATAATGTTCATAAAAAGGAAATTAATATATTAGGCTAAGGAACACCCTTTTAAATAGCTACAAACTGTTTCATCACTGGACATACCCATAATATGACGGTCTTTGGAAAGGAAGGAAGTTACGGTTCCATGAGCTAGCAGTGAAAGAAAAGATGGAGTCTCACTATTTAACTTTTTTGTTCTTAATTTACAACCTGTTTTCTGGAATAAATCTTTATGGGTCAGGTAGCTGACTCTCAGAACATCTTCAGTAGCCATAAATCACGACAGCCACAGTAAGGGAAATCAAGATACAGTAATTAGTATTAGCTGTCAGGTTGGCCCACAGCATTTATTTCTTCTTTAAAATCTTGCATATTGTCCATCCATCAGATACCCCAGCTTATACAGTATAAAAATCTAGTGTAATTACAATTCTGTTATTAAAAATGTGTTGCTCCAGTTTATAATCAAATCTCCACCCAAAACCATATCCTGATCTTTCATCACTGGCTGCATTAGAATATACTTTCAGAAGTAAAGCTCCTTAGTGAGCATAGAGACCACACAGGGAATCTGCTTCTTCTCACTGAAGCGTGGATCATCAGATTGTGATTCAAAATTTGTGGCAACCACATAGTTGACCCGCGTGAGGATCTGCATGATCTCAAGTTGTTTTCCATGCTCATTTAGCACAGAGCACAGAGACTGCACAAACCAGGAGCCTCTTCCAGGATTCCTCCAGGAGTAATAACCTTACAGGAAAGACAGATAAGAAAGTACATGGGGTTATTTTTCCTCTTTTTTCTTACTATCTTGTACTGAAGAAAGGAATGGCAGAGAGATATGTACTAATTTGTGAGAAAGATTCTTGGCAAAGAGTAACAATGCACACACAGAAAGTTTAATTCTTATCACTTGTGTCGCATTCCTACTTCATTAAAGTGGAGAATAATGTGTATTAACTCTCCAAACCTCACCCTACTGAAGTACCATTCTATATTTTTGCATTTGGGAAACTGCAAGAAGTAAGATTTCATGTTTTTCCTCTCTAATAATAAGTTTTGTGCTGTAACTGTTCCTCTTCCTGCCTTCATCCCATATTCAACATACTCACTAAACTGGGACATGGAAGTGCAGGATTCCCAGAAAATAGTACTGCCTTCACCATCTGTAATGTCTGTGTCTTCCCACCTGTCCAATCTGGGCTTTCTGCTGTTTCCACTATACCTAGTTAAAAGGGGTGGATACAACACACTGGCCCAACATACGCTGGTCTTTAGTGTTTTGTCCATCAATGTACAATGTATCATCAATGAGGGTGAGTCTACAATCAAATCAATACAGGTGGTAAGTTTTTAGGCTTTTATCCCCACCCTGACCCCCTTTTTCTTTACCCGGCACGGTGGAGTATGCAAACAGAAAATCTGCTTCTACTGGGATTTTGTATCTCGGATTGGCATCTGTTTCCAGAGTGTCATTTGCAGGTCCAGAGTCAGTCTGTATACCTTCATCAAATTCAGAGCCTCTGCATGCCTGAAAGCAGTGAAGACAAAGACAACTTGTCCAATAAGGAGAAACAAGGTGTTATAAAAATAAGTATTCGTTAACATTTTTTAATGGATACAGTTTTAAGCAGTGCTTTGCACGTATTAGAAGCAGAAATGCAATTCTGGGGGACATCTAATTGTTCAGGGATAAAGTTACTAGCTTACCCATTTTAAAATGTACATCCCGTACAGTAAATGGAGGTAATGGTGTTGCAGGCTGTGGATCTCAGTGGATTGTCAAAGTGCCAAATCAGCATTAGCTTATTCTAACCATGATTAATTTTACCAGTCTAGAGTCACCCTCAGCAGTCAGTTATTACATAATGTCTTGTGCAGCGTGACTTCTGGACATTTTCTTTACAGTGAACTACACATTGTCTTTGGTTCCTGATGTGCACAGCTGTAGCACTACATTTCACAGAATAACCAAATCACATCCTGAGATCATCTAGTCCAATCCCCCTTCTCAAGCAGGGACAGCTACAGCAGATGTACAGGACCGTGTCCAGTTGGGTTTGGAATATCTCCACAGATGGAGACTCTACAATCTGGGCAACCTGTTCCAGTGTTTGATCATCCATCTCAAGTACACTGCATTTTTAACATTTTTCCATTTTTCTCTTTTATTCTTAATTTCCTCTTAGTGAGGTGGCTTAGCTACAGGGCACACTGGGACCACAGTCCAGGTTGGTAAGCTTCAGCTCTTGATCAGTAGCTTTGACTGACAGCTCTTGCAAAAAAATAGCACTCTGATGGGCTTGTATAACACAACTTGGTTGCCTTTACTAAGATAATTTTAAAGGCAAAGTACCCATTCCAAACTTATAATGAAAAGAAATATCACTTTAGTAGTATGAAGAGTCTAAAATAGACACGGTTTTCACTTTGAGGTTGAGGATTAATTGATGCAACAGCCTAGGGAAAACCACATCTGTTGCAACTCCCATACGTACATAACACTGACAAAAAAGAAAATTCAGACCCATGGTATGTCAGTTAATACTGTTTGAAACATTTTTAAAAGCTTAAGTAATATACAAGTAATTACATGCTAATGCAATAATGCAATATACATTTTTAGGCTACTGAGGGAGAGAAAAAATACTTCTTTTAGCAGAATGCAGTAATTTGTAGAGACAGCCTTTATTCAAAGAGACCTGGACAGCATTATTTTCTGTCCTCAGCTCTGTCTGCACAAGGAGGAGTTTATCTTTCTGCTTTGAAGTTCATATATTACCAAGCACAAAGAGAAACCATGTACAAAATTACAATGACAATATGTTCTTTACTTCTGTGAATCTTGTATATAAATTATCTTTTAAAACCAAACATTACAAGTCAGCCATAGTCAACTTTTTTCAACACATGTTTTCACAAAATGTCCAGCAAAATTCAGTAAGTTAACCTACAGGGCTCTTCTAGAGCAGACAACCAACACAGCATGTTCTCCCCACTGCAGCAGTAGGGTACTATATTTACCTTAGGGCTATTACCTGAATGAAAAATAATTTGGGTTTGCCTATAAGGCTTTTACACTTGTCTCCTCTGAATAGCGCAGTCAAACTCTTGATAGCCATGGGTCCATCGGTGCCATAGATGAGGCCTTCTTCCCCATGGCTTAGAAGGATACAGGCAAAACAAGCAGCATCACTGTGATTCTCCTCAGCAGCTACAAATCAAATACTTCTTAGCCAAAATGAAGCAACATTTAAAATGAAAATTATATTTAGCAAACACATTTTTCTGAGACTAAATATACGTTGGGCCTCTACCAAAAGGCATAAGAAGGAGTCGATAACGATGACACAACCCACTTTTTAGTAATGTTGTGAGTACGTTGAATACATGAATGCATCCTTCACTTGACTCCAAGTCTAGCCAACTGGAGTCTGTGGGCTGGACTCTTTATCTAATATTACAAGGCCCTTCACCTAATACACAGGACAGGTGCTTCACCTAATATGACAAGAAAACTGTGTATTTCTGAATTGACGTTGGAGGAAGAGGTGGGGAATTAAGCCAAATCCATTCAGAAACCAAATCCTTCTGTAGAGAAAATTGCATGTCGTAGGGCCTTAGGAATCTGTGCTAATTTGACCTGCTTTGAGCAGGGGGCAGATTCGGTGACTTCCAGTGGTCTTTTTTACTCTATATTATTCTATGATTCTAAATTTTTACCTTGCTTCAGTAATTTTTCCATATCATCACAGCTTCGGTCATTGTATACGTAAACCTCAAAACCTAAGTTTCTAAAACTCTTAGCTAGATCTCCAGCATCTTTATCAGTGCCATTGCGTGTACCCATTGCTGCAAGAAAACAAAGAATACGGTTGATTGCACATTACACAATTCAAAATAATTCACGCGTTCAAAGGTAAATTTTTAGGTTTATAATTAATAAACCTAAACAATGTCATGGTGACATGATTTTAAAACAATCGTCTAACAACATTCTCAGTGCTGAGAAGAAATTGTAAGATTTGTTTAATGCAAAATAATGCAAGGTTCAATGTTAACACGTATCGTATCCTAAAAAACGTTGGCATGCCTTCAGCACCTTGCAACACAGGACTTCTACAGATGATTCTATCTCCTTTTGGTTATGCAGTATAACATACACATAAAGCACTCCAAGCAAAAACTGTTGAAAAGAGTCCCTATGATACACAGATAAAAGAAACTGATGTAAATTCTTTGGAGTAAACACCTCATTTAGTGTGTTTGCCAAGCGTATAGGAAAAGACCTATAAAGTTGACTATACCACAAGTATCTGTCTGCTTTGAAACAGTACATGGTCTGAAAAGTTAAATGCAGGAGTGTGAACAGACCACAGCTACAGCTATTAGCTTTTGTAGCTGATAGCCATAGCTCGGGGACAGAGAAGTTATAACATGGGCTGCAGATGCCAAAGTTCAACTTTTAACAACACAGCCTTAAAACCTGGGACAAAGGTTTAGTTTGAAGTTGGTAGAGCAAGGTGACATGCTCTTTGAAACATATACTGCAAAGAAGCTGTAAAGAGCTGCTCTAATATAAGTGTTAAAGAACAGGAATAAATTGTAGGAACAGCTATTTCTCAAAAAAGATAAATATATTCATTAAAATTCCATGTCCTAAAAATAAAATGCTTATTGATTAATGAAAGTATAAAAATTCTACAGTCTGTAATGAGTATCATCAAAGGAAGAACATTACCTGTTTTGTCTTCAAAATTTTTGTTGTTTATAATAATACATTTGCCAACTTTCTTGTAGTCCATATTATACTGGAATGTGGGTGTAACAATTCGGTACTGATTACTGAGAGAGGACTTTGGCTGTTCTTCTCCATTCTTCTTTTTTCTAGGTGAACCAAATGAAATTATTCTTAGTGGCCAGTCACATGCAGTGTGCCTATTTATCTTAATTCAAACCATTTGGGCAGCCCTACCACATGTTTTTTCTTCTCTAAGGTTTGTTTCCTTCCTTCAGATCGAGGCATAAAGATCTTGTGATTTCCACAAAGTGATTATTGTATGCAATTGGATTCTGATGATGGTAGAATGACTCTAGAGTGAACTGCGGCCAACAGTAGTATACACAGATCCTGACCCACAGATAAAACAAATAGCTTAAACATGAAGTCAGGCTGGCAGCATCCTTTCGCAAACCATGGTTCTGGACGTATTTTACTTTTACTAGAAATAATTCATTGAAGGATAGACAGATCCCCTTAATAACTAGCTATTCCAAGCACAAGAAGATACACAGTTTACCCGATGATGTGATAGGATTTGTTTATTGAATCACCACCATCCCTAAATTCTCTGAAGATTAAGACTGAGCAGTAGGTAGTTTCTACTGATAAAGGTTACAGATGTGAACAGGTCATGTGTTACTTTGGTCTGCCAAACAGCAGTTTGAGCCTATGCAAAAAACTAAGCACATTTTAGTATAATCATCGACACCCGAACCTCATTTAAAAACAAAACAAAACAAAATGGGCTATAAATGTTTTCTGTTAATGACTGTGTACGAACTTTTCTGCTACGTGCAGGAATTGGATTAGAAAGAAATGCAAAGGGACAGAACAGGCATTACTCACCAATTTATTCTAAATGAAGTATTAAGAACAAATCAATCACAGCCAGCATGCACACCTGAAGTATAAGCATGAGGAACTGAGGAGTACTTGCTTCTAGAGGTGGACTTTTTGGTCCAAGCAGGTGGCTTCAGGTGTTGGTAAGATCTCTTGAAGCAGAACTGAAGCCAGTGAGAGCCTCAAAAGGGTCTGATTCAACCTCAGAACTATAAATAAGCTTTGGAGCAAGCCCAGTTAGAAACAATGCTCAGGAAAGGGCAGAAGAAGTTATCAGCACCTCTCTTATTTGGTCCAGCATCCTGCTTCCAATAGTATTTATTGCTGATGTCCAAGAGGAAAGTGTGACTTACTTGCACAGCACAAATAACTGTAGAATACAGTTTGTTTTTAAGAAAATTAGATTTTTCCCATAAGCTCAATTCATGTAAGTACTTTCACTATTCTCACTCTGACATCTTTCTAAAGAATTACTAAGCTATTTTCTTCAATAATAGCCTGTAGACATGAGATTGCTGCAAATTGATTAAATGTTGTTTAGGTAATCTGCTTTCTTACCTTCCTGATTTAACAACCATGGTCTTTTAGCTTTAAGTGACCTCTTTTTTATTACGTTAGGACAAGACTAATTGAAAACTGTAACAAACCTTCTTTGAATGATTCATTGTATTCAAATACTACTGTAATTAAATTTTAAACAGCTTCTTCTTATCTTTGAGTGTCCTCATGTTCTGCTATGAAGGGCCAAATTAAATAGCTGCACCTGGCAGGCTTTCTCTGTACTCTTTTCACATGTGACCATCCTAATATCATCTCCTCTCTTAGACTTCTCTTAGAGACTAAAAAACAAGATATTGAATCGTATCTACTTGAGGATTTTGGCTGATACTCTGGAAGTACAGTTTTTTCTGGCAAATCGCAAGTATTGGTATTCTCCTTGCATACTGCTTCTTGAGGGCTCTGGGAGCAATAATTAAATATGCTTTGCCTCAAGAAAAGATTTTAACCATTTTAAAGAATTATCCACAGCTGTATGATGTTAATATTACATTTGACTTTCAAAAAGAACTTGGATTCTTATTTTAGCCTAAAATTCCCCCTGGTCCTACATCACTAGACAGCTCTCTGGCAAAGAGAGAAAAAGAAATTTCAAAACAACAAATAACCACTCAGGTCGATGAAGAGGCTAATTTCCTCAGTCCACACTGGATTTAAGTTTCTAGAGATTTATCTGGCTTTGCTGACTTCCCGAAAAAGCCATGCAACTAACAGTGGCTGTTACATACAATAGGATATTTTCAAGGGGCTTGTACACAAATTTCTGTTTATATCCAACCCATGAACAGTTGTGAACACTCAGAACAGCTCCACGTGAGCAGTATGGTATAATGTTTGCACTGTCTGCTCTCCTAAAAATACTCAAGTGATCTAATTCTAGTCCAGAAGTCATGCAACCATGTCACCCCACAAAAAGCCTCACTGAAAATAGCAGCTGGGGTTAAGTGGCATAATAATGTAGCCACACAACTTCTCTGAAACCACTTCACTTCCTCATTCAACTGTTTGCACTCATTCATGCAGAAATATTTGGGAGTTTAAGGGATGTAGCTACTACTGCTGGTATTTCCAAAAACACGCCACAAGCTCTATGCTGGGCAATATCAAGTCTCACAGACAAGCCTCGTCAGCATGGTAACACACATAACTACCACTTCCCCATTTCTTTACAGAGGATAGTATGGTTTTGTTCTAATGACTCCCTCCCAGCTGAACAGGCTAACACAAGCAAACAGGCTAAATCAAGCAAACACAGCATGCTTTGTAGGGTTACACCCATCATTTCTTTACTGGCAGACAATAAAAAGTTCCAGAAATCTTTTGGTATCTGTCCAAACTGAAGGAATAAGGAAGCAAAGGTTGTGGAGTATACATAGCCTGGGCCTGCAGTCCAGAGAGAAATTGGTTTTTGAAGATTCTGTTTTCTGTGCCAACATAGCGCAATATGGGAATTGCCTGACTGGACTAAACTGACGGTATAAGGTCCAACTCTTCAGTTGCAACAAGCTAAATCAGACCTTGTAATAACGACTAATACAGTAATAAATATGTAATAATCAGGCCTTAAGGGAAATGCCCGGTCAGTGACAGGCTGGCTTATGACTGAAAGCCTGAAGCTTTCCAGCTAAATTTTTATTTTCTAAGCTGTGAACTGGACACATGTTAATATAAATGTTTACTGCTGTTGTTCTTACTAAGCTTTCTAATCCCTGTATTTTCCAAAAGGGTTTCCACAGGTTAGTTATGTGCTGTTACAAAATGACTTAAACTATTTGCCCTCAGTTGTATTTCATTCTGCTTCTTTGACATCCAGTGTCTTTAATTTCCCTCTTTTGGGATTCAAACTTGCCCAGACTAAATAGAAACTTGAATTTTATGACTGTTTACTCTTCTTCAGCTTTTAATTACAACTGTGCTGTAACTTCTCACTCTGGTAGTGGTCACTGATTTTTCTCTTAGATGGAAATATTCTTCCTACCAGTGCTCTCACATATTTCATGTTTCCTCCCTTCGGTCAAGAGTTCAGCAAAACTGAAACTCCACTCTGCACCTTCATATAGCTTCCACATTTTCACCCTTACTGTGTCTCTAAATCCAGGTCTTAGGCTTGACAACAGTATGTCTGGGAATGTGATTTCATTAAGTCTAGACTCAATCGGTGTCAACCCTGGGAAAATCATTATTATCAACTTCTCACTTTTTAAATATAAAATAAAGTTACCCACACCATTTATCATTTTGTTATTAAACTTTCAAATAGTAAAGGCCAAATTTCTTATCACCATGAGCAGCTAAAATTCTGTGAAAGTCAATGGAGATATTTCACTTGCACCAGTAGTGAACTTGATTGTCTCAAGGACTGCTACTGATCACAACAAACTTTCTTTTCTGTTACACTTTGGGTAAATTATGATTTCAGTATGTACAGATATCAAGATTTAAGGACAAAAATATCACTGTTAACATTTAACTATACCTAAAGATTATTTCCAATAACAATTTTACTGAAAGCAGTGTCTCTTAGCAGCTGAGATCTCCTCTCCTTTGGTTTCCTTTCTACTGGCATCTTCCTGCACTTTCTTTGCTACCATATATTAGTATGACATACCAACATATGAAGAATCCATGTGCAGGAGAACAGTTTCCTTGAGGGCTACAGTCTCTCACCATCTCTCCCACCTGCTACAACCAAGCTCTTGGGCTCAGGTCTGCCAGCCCTCCAGAGTAACAAGTGCTTCCATGAACACCAGCTGCTTACCTTCAAGTGCAGTGTGATGTACTTCTGTGGGGAGGGTCTTCACTTTCCATCACATTACATAATTAATGTCAGCTCTGTAGTCTGGTATTGCCTACCTTTGTGCAAGGTGTAAGGGCCAGTAACTGTAAAAAAAACTTCTGCTCTAAGAAAGCTGGCCTGCTGTAACTATACGGACTCCCCTTGGAGAAGTACCAGCATAATGCAGTGGAAGTTCTCAAGAGAAGAGTGGATGAAAGGGAAACATTGAGAAGAAAGTGCAATCTCTAGGGTAGAAACTGTTACACTAATCCATTTACTAAACCTCAACATTATCAATGATTAAGAACAGGATGATAGTAACCAACGGACAATAGAGCTCTACAATATGAGCTGCTTGGTCTTAAAAGCAATGTGACACTTAGCAGACAGAAGAAACAGCTCTCCCTGGGAAAGAACAACCACTTAAATAGCCTTACGAGCAGAGGATTAGATGAATAAAGACAAATTTCATGATCGTCACTTCTCAGTCACAGGATGGAAAGACTTTACTCTTTGTTTTTTTCCTGTTTGTTTGCTTTTCTAAGAGGAAATTAATGTGTTAATCAAAATGAACTCTAAAAACCGATATTACAGAGGGACATCCAGGCTTTGAAAAGAGGTATCATCCCTTTCTCTCCCAGGGAAGTTAGGGACTTTTGTTGCTGTACTGAAAAATGTAAGCAGATAAAAAATTCTACAAATATGATACTATTCTATTTAAGGAAACTGACATTCAGAGGTGGGTGGAAAAGGCTAAACTGATTACATTCATTTCTATTCCAAGTACACACACACGGAAGAAGAGAACTCTGTCTTACTCTTGCTCCATGAAGTTCAGTAAGTTTGGGCTTTACTTGATAAGGAATATCACATAGCATTGTGATAGTTTTTACTCTGGCATGCCTCTGTTACACAACATGCAATCATACA